CACACAATATATTCACTTCGACAAACACTTGCTGGCTTTAATCAGAGCTATGCAGAGAAAGATGAGGTAATTTTCAGATCATGCATCATCAAAGCAGTTCAGAGCCTCCCTCCACCACAATAGCCCATAATGAGATCCTGTTCTGTTCTGTTTGCTCCCTCCATCAACATGCATATTTCACTGAGCTGAGGTAACTATGGATTTGGATGGCAACCCGCTTCTACCACGTTATGAGTGCTGTGCTCTGATTGGTTTTAGGGCCAATTAGACTGAGCCGTAATGCTAGAGCAGAGGGTTTCGATCTTAGTTCTTAAAAGTTCTAGAGCTTGTTTGTTCTGTGTTCCACTGCCATCACCATCATTCTACTCACGTTACACAGCGACGACTCAGCGATCTCAACGACGCTCGTAGAACTCTAACTTCATCTGCTGGATAAAACGCTTAATACCTACATCCCCCTCCCATTTCCTCCCTAACGGCCTAATCCAGGGAGCACTCACAATATAATTATACATTTTTACTGATGCTTTTATCCAAAGCCACTTATTAAAGTGGGAGCCCAGTTTTATACAGTGAGGTTTAGTGGAGCCCACCAGATGTAGGCCCTACCTTTGATCAAGGGACACCGCCACAGTTAAGTGTCCCACCACCAGAGAGTTGAACCCGCCGCAGCCCCCCCATCAGCACACACACACACATACGTACACTCCCAACACACCTACACACACCCTTCAGAAGGAAGAATTCAGAGTTCCCAGGGTTCCCTCTGCTGCACTTCCTGTGGCCCCTGGTGGGGAAGCATCTCCCAGAAACCTTTGCAGTCGGTGCAGCAGCCTGGCGTGGCGCATTAGGTTGACCTCAAGATGGGTAGCTAGATAAGTTAGAGGAGGATGTGGGATGATGCCCCAACACCACCACTCTACTGGCCTCCTACATCTTCTACCCCCCCTACCCTACCTGGTAGTCAGGGCAGGGGTATCTCTGTCTCACCCCACCAGCTCCAACAGCAGGGGCTTGAGGGAAACACGCCAAACCATGCTGCACACACACACTCCTCCCACCCTCCTCTTCTCTCCTCCCTCCCTCCCCCACAGCGGATCTCTCCGCATGTGGATCAAATCAGAATCATCCACTAATTGACTATTTACAGGGCTCCAGAAAGGCTGTAATGGACTTGATATTAAATCCCCCCTCCACTATTTAAAGCGTGTCTTCAGAGTGCCTGGGCTGGGCTGAAGGAGAGAAGGAGTCAGCGAGGGCCCAGGTTTTTTACAAGGCAACCCAGTTAAGCCCATCGGAGTGGGTCAGAGTGGGTACCACCCAGCCCAGTTGTGCGTTCCAAATGGCACCCTATTCCCTATGACGTGCCCTACTTTTGACCAGGGCCCATAGGGCTCTGTTCAAAAGTAGGGCACTATATAGGGAATAGGGTGCCATTTGGAACTTACCACCAAGCGGCTCTCAGATGGGATTATGGGACGACAGCGGTAAGGGGAAAAAAGGGCAGCGTGGAATGGAGAGAGGCAGGGGAGAGAGGCACCGGCACAGCCAGATCTCAGCACCAATGAGTTCCAGATGGAACGCTAGGCCCCCAGTCAGGTTCTCAGAGATAGGTTGCATCCCAAAATGGATTTTGACTTTTGTAAGGCAGTGCACTATGAAGGGAATAGGATTCCATTTGGGACGCAGCCATAGATACACTGCCATACCTCCGCAGCTCTAGAGTGGGGATACACTGTGCTCTGCAAGGGGCTTAAACTTGGCTTCTTTATAACAGAGATAGACTGCGTTTTATGTGGAAAGTTAGCATAAATGTAGATCTGCTGCTACGTCTGTCTGTTTATGCTCTATTCGAGTTAGCTACAGCCGAAAAAAGGTCATCATAAATTGAAGGATGAGAATTAACTTTAGTTTTTTTCCCAGTAGGTTCTTAAGAGTGGCTTTTGGGTGTCTCCTGTTTTACAGGCAGGTTGTTCAAACCACATGATGCTTTTATTTCTCTGTCCTCAACTCTCACACCATAGCACTGTTTCTGTTAGCCATCGTTAGCCATTGTAGGACAATCAAATCAATAGAGATTATTTTGTAGTCAAATGACTCTTGACTGAGTCTGAAATACTTAGTTTTCTGATTTATTAAATGGCCCAATATTCCCTATTTTTCTCTGTTGTTGTGTTTCCTTTCTGCTCTTAGATCTGGCTGGCCCCAGCTGCAGTCCGATTCTGCTCACTCCTCCAGATCTATAGCCCTGCCCAGTAGAACCACCTGCATTCAGTTGGACATCCTCCATAGAAACATTGAGGCCAGTCTAACTCTTCAGCCTCACAACCACCATATCCGGCACACATACACGGCCATCCTAACCATACTTCCTCCTGGTCTGCACATGTGAGAATAACACACTTGTGTTTATTACAATACACATGGTTTACTACTAATTATAAACCGGGTGGTTCGAGCACTGAATGCTGATTGGCTGACAGCCATGGTATATCAGACCATATACCACAGGTATGACAAAAAAAATATTGTTACTGCTCTAATTACGTTGGTAACCAGTTTATAATAGCAATAAGGCACCTCTGGGGTTTGTGGTATATGGCCAATGTACCACGGCTAAGGGCTGTGTCCAGGCACTCCGTGTTGCATCGTACATAAGAACAGCCCTTAGCCGTGGTATGCTGGCCATATACCACACCCCCTCGGGTCTTATTGCTTAATGATATCCTGTATCTCATTTTTGTCATACATGTGATTTGTATGATGCTCTATGTCATACTCTCTTAATGAATTAGTCCAGATATTTTATATTGTATATTAGTGTAAATATTTATTATGGTAAAATTATGATTTGTACCCACAATGGTTAGGTTGTCTTGTGTAGACACACTGCAAGGCCCCACATCCAATAATTTCTACAGCCATTTCAGAGAGGAAATTCTCTTTATTTCTTGTATCTGTGGTGTATGTATTGTGGGATGTTTGTCACACCAGTAAAAGTGTATACATAACCTAAGTTGCCCACACAGCATATGGGAAAATACATGCATAGCCACTTTCATTTTAAGTACAAATATAATTCATGTTCAAGATACTAACAGGATCTGTTTAAAAAATATGTGTCCCTCTTATCGGCAAAGAAAGACCTAATCACCAAGTTCTCACCCACCGTTTGACATGATAGACATTTCATTCTGTTTGAAGACCCTAGATCTCTGGCAATTGGTTTGTTGGAGTGGGAAGTTCTCCTAGAGACAGAGAGAGAGACAGAGAGAGAGAGAGAAGGAGAGAGAGAGCGAGAAGAGAGAGAGAGGCGAGAGAGAAGATAGTATGAGAGAGATGAGAGAGTAGAGGGAGATAGTATAGATCTCTCGCATCGCTATCGTGATCCTAGCGCTCATACTCTCTATACGATACGCGATCTCTCGCTATCTCGCGCTTATCCGCTCTCTCTCGTTCGCGCGATCGACGGACGAGATGACGAGAGAAAGGAGGTGCTGACAAGAGCCAGGGCAGAACCATCACCATAACTCAGGACCATAATGATTGCTGTGTGTGAGAGAAAGAAAGCAGAGGTCTACAGTACCGGTATGTATGTATGCCCTGGGATGACGTCCTTTACCTTTCCCATTCATCTACATACTGTACTGTACAGCCACGCTGCACTGACACACACACACACACACACACACTGACATATGATATACACACAAATTATTTCATTTGATGGATAACTAACTAACCCAGTCAATGTTCATGGTATGATGCCATTTAGGTGGGTGTAGTTGTTGTTTATGTTTAATAATGTCGTTGATAGCTTGATTGGAATAATAATAATTTGGTGGGTGCTTATATTTGTCCTATTACACAAATGTACAACTGTGTATTACTCCGCATGTGTGAATTGGAAATGTTTTTTTTCCATTTCCCACCTCTCCCTGAGACACACTCGGAGAGTGGGGTCATGGCCAGGGTTTTCCATTATCAACGGCGACCCTGGAGCAATTAGGGTTAAGTGCCTTGCTCAAGGGCACATCAAAAGATTCAAACTAGCGACTGTTTGGTTACTGGCCCAACAATAGAAATAGAATGTATATTTCTGTGAGCCCAACGCTCTAACCTGCTAGGCTACCTGCCACCCGTAATGATTGATGTGAGCTTATGTGTCTTAGATCACCAATGACAAGTAAGTGCTAGTGGAGGATAGACGGAAATTAATTTCAGACTGAATCCAAGATAGCCAAGGTAATAACCATTACCATTATTATTACCATTACAATACATCCACAAAGGTACTCTGTTGACTTTTTTTTTCTCATAACGCTAAGCAACGATGGGAGGCATACAAATATTTATTTCATCAGGTGTGCAAAAGCAATATTCAAAGAAGTTATATCGAGAAAAAAAAATGTAAATAATGAAGGGATAGCGTGGGTCTGCTAGGTAATAGACCCACCATATTGTTCTATTATTACCCATTCCTACTTGTCAAGGTCAGACAGGCCAGGCCTTGCTGAATGTTACCCAGTTGTTCCTTCTTCAGTTCAGCTCAACTTGACTTCACAATGTGGCTCCTCGCCCGCCCCGCTCGGGCTGTTTTACATTTGCAGTCTTGTAAGGATTTTTCTAACGCAGTCATTTGAGGCTGGGATTTGTGCGGAGCTCTGTGTTCTGCACTAGCGTTGGCTTAACAACGATTCCTTAAGCTCCCATCTGGTTGGCCAGGGACCTTCTCTGAAGTCCCACTTCAACAGGCAGGATCGCTGCTTCGGAACAGACTGCAGGTTTGGAGCCAAAGTGCTAAGCGATTACTGCCCTATTGTGGTTCAAAGACTTGGGCTAACGCTAAGGGCCGTTTCGCTTCATGCTTAGTGTTGTCACGCTAGCTTACAACATGGCTAGCAGAGGCATATGGCTGAAGATGAGATCTAGAACTACACACACTTAAGCTCTGCTCAAATGGACTGCATGGGTGGACTTGTTGTGTAGTTCACCTGCAGCCCATGTTTACAAGTTCAACCGATTTCTACCTGGCAAAGCTTCTCAACACAAGCAGAGATGGCAAAATTAAATGAAGGCTTTACTCAAGGTCTCAATAACAGTTGGCCTGTTACTTCAATCTCTTTGCACATACACATCCATGTCCCACTCCCTTGTTTGCTGATAATAATATGATCAAGTTTTGCATTTAAATGTTTTTCTTAGAAACGTTAATCAATTCGTTACTGGTACATAGGTGTCCATCTTAACCCTAAACACACCACTTCAAACACATCAAAGGCATAATGGATATTCTTCACTTTGCTGAAAACATCTCCTTTTGGCATTGTTTGACATTGAACGTTTTGGATGATTTTTTAAAGCCATTATATGGCACGTTTTTGCATAATTCTATAGAGGGGTTCTTCCTCTGGAATACTCATCATCATCACAGTCACAATGCTCCTCCAGTCAGGATAACATGGGTCTAAAGGAGCAGAGCTTTTGGGCAGATGTAGGCTTCTATTGGAGTTTGGCCACTCTGATCTGCTTCTCCTCATGAGAAACTACTATGGCTTCCACTGTGCAACTTGGCAAGGTCATCATGGCTGTATTTCAACATAATCTCATTTCAGATGCCTCACAGGCAGTTCAAAGTTGGCTGGCTGGCTAGGGGGAGTCTGGTTGACTCTGGACTGACCGGATGGGTGGACATCGCCGCTGCCTCAGGAGCCACACTGCACCCCTTAGCCCTAGCTATCATTCCAGTGGGCCCCTACACTGCTCTGCCCCATCTGGTACTGGTAGGATGGGTCCCGGATGGATGGGGGGGCGCTCTGTGTTGGGAAGGCCGAGAACTCCCTGTGAGGCCGGAGAGGAGACCCAGGCCCAGGCTTCCTGTGGTACAGAGGAGGATGGACCACCGGCCTGCTATCCCTGGAACCAGGAACCGGTGGAGAGGAAGACGAGGTGGAGGATGACGAGGGGATGGCGGCCAGGCCTCGCTGTGCTGTGGCTGGACTGTAGACTCCTATGTCGGGCTGGGGGCGAGGGGGTCCGGAGGGGGTGTGGTGGGGCACCACGGAGGTGGCGGTGGCAGTACTGGTGAAGTGAGCAGTGAAGGGCTGGTAGGGGACGGCCTCCACTGTCTGCACGCTGTACCGGGGGTAAGGCTGCACCGACGCCCACATGTTGCAGTTCAGAGAGGGGGGAACCAGGTCGTCAGCACCCCCAGCCCCGTGGCCGTTCTCTCCCTCCATCCCTCCGTACATACAGGCCTCCCTGGAGTTTATGGCCTCACCGCAATATGGGTGGGACAGCAGTGGAGGCTCGTAGGAGGGAGGAGAGCGGAAGTAGTGTTCCTCTGAGACTGCTGGAAGCGCTGTGTCCAGATACGTCCGTTTACAACCTAGTTCCAAGTGCCTGGTGTTATCTGTAAAGAAATGAAGATTAAATCATCATCACTGAGCGAAAAAACTCAATGTATCACCCTGCTGACCTATGATGCTTCTTTATACTGTTTGGAACTGTGTACCAACCCATTTATATTGTGTGATATTGATGTGTAGCACCAAAAGATGTGTTGCAAGATAACAAAGTTATGATGAGGACTGCCCATTTTCTGTGATTGACAGGTGTGGAGATGTTCAGGTAGGTCTGCAGCTAACCCACCTCTGTGTTTGAAGCAGTGGTAGAGCAGGCTTGGCTCTCGGCTGGGAGGGAAGGGATTGGATTCCTGGTGGTCTGAGTTCCCCAAGGGCACCCCACCCTCGTACTGGTAGTGGGACAGGACCTGGGGGTGCCCTGACAGGTGTACCCCAGCTCCCAGCTTCCCCGTCAGGTGACCGTGTGAGGAGAGGAGCCTCTGGCGAACCATGTTCTTAGAAATCACTGGGTAGTCTTTTCTACGGAGAGGAAGAAGGAGAATCAAGAACAGAAGGATTAGCGTTACAGTGTTGGGGAAGCTACTCTGAAAATATAGTTTATCAAGCTACCAATTACTTCATACTGGAAGAAGCTAACCTACACTAAAACTACCCTTAAGAAAAACATACCTTACTTAACTAAAGTTACTTCGAAAAAGTAGTTCATTACATCCAAACTACTTAGTGAAAAATTATATCTAAATCTGAAATGTCATAGACTACAAATTGCAGTCAGATGTTAACAGAATGTGTAATTTAGCCTATTAAACACAAAAAGTTAGAATTATGTACACAAAAAGTGTTTCAAGTGAGAATTAGGCAGGTCTGATGTAAAAAGTCATTTCTTGCCCACTTCACCCATATTTTATTTTTGCTAAAAAAGTAGTCTGTAGTTCCATTAATTAGCTACACCACTATATGGCAACTACTGAAAACACTACCAAGATTTGAATTTAGTTCAACTACGACCAAGCTACAGCAAAATGTAATTAAATTACTAGTTGAACTAAATGTAGTTCACTACTCCCCAACACTTGCGTTACAGATTCTACTTTGCAGAGAGCTAGCGAAGTATTAAAGGAAGCAAGCACAGTTAATCTGCTAAAGGAAGAAATGGAACGAGTTCCAAAAGGAACAAATGTGTCACGGATCCCCCCGGTACTGCTGCTCATTCCGTTCAGTCACCTGCTTTCTAGGCGTTACTGACATGGATCATTACCACCAACCCTGACTGTCTTGTCTCATTACGCACACCTGGTTCCCATTCCCCCTGATTAGTATGTGTATATATGTGCCCTCTGTTCCCCGTTGTCCTTGTCGATTATTGTCCCATGTCCGTTGGTCTCGTGAGTAACGTGTATTGTGCTCTTGTTGTTTACAGGTCTCGTTCCGTGTATTGTGTAGAGGTTACACCTCGCTTTTTGTTTGGGTTACATCCCTTTGTGTATATATATACACTACCAGTCAAAAGTTTGGACACACCTACTCAGTCAAGGGTTTTTCTTAATTTTTTTTTACATTGTAGAATAATAGTGAAGAAATCAAAACTATGAATTAACACATATGGAATCATGTAGTAACCAAAAAAGTGTTAAACAAATCAAAATATATTTTATATTTGAGATTCTTCAAATAGCTACCCTTTGCCTTGATGACAGCTTTGCACACTCTTGGCATTCTCTCAACCAGCTTCATGAGGTAGTCACCTGGAATGCATTTCAATTAACAGGTGTGCCTTCTTAAAAGTTCATCATTACTTTAAGACATGAAGGTCAGTCAATACGGAACAATTCAAGAACTTTTAAGGTTTCTTCATGTGCAGTCGAAAAAACCATCAAGCGCTATGATGAAACTGGCTCTCATGAGGACCACCACAGGAATAGATGACCAGAGTTACCTCTGCTGCAGAGGATAAGTTCATTAGAGTTACCAGCCTCAAAAATAGAAGCCCAAATAAATGCTTCACAGAGTTCAAGTCACAGACACATTTCAACATCAACTGTTCAGAGGGGACTGTGTGAATCAGTTCTTCATGGTCGAATTGCTGCAAAGAAAGGACACCAATAATAAGAAGAGACCTGCTTGGTGCAAGAAACATGAGCAATGGACATTAGACCGGTGGAAATGTGTCCTTTGGTCTGGAGTCCAAATGTGAGATTTTTGGTTCCAACTGCCGTGTCTTTGTGAGATGCAGTGTTGGTGAACGGATGATCTCTGCATGTGTAGTTCCCACCGTAAAGCATGGAGGAGGAAGTGTTATGGTGTGGGGTTGCTTTGCTGGTGACACTGTCTGTGATTTATTTAGAATTCAAGGCACACATAACCAGCATGGCTACCACAGTATTCTGCAGTGATACGCCATCCCATCTGGTTTGGGCTTAGTGGGACAATCATTTGTTTTTCAACAGGACAATGACCCAACACACCTCCAGGCTGTGTAAGGGCTATTTTACCAAGAAGGAGAGTGATAGAGTGCTGCATCAGATGACCTGGCCTCCACAATCCCCCGACCACAACCCATTTGAGATGGTTTGGGATGAGTCGGACGGCAGAGTGAAGGAAAAGCAGTCAACAAGTGCTAAGTATATGTGGGAACTCCTTCAAGACTGTTGGAAAAACATTCCAGGTGAAGCTAGTTGAGAGAATGCCAAGAGTGTGCAAAGCTGTCATCAAGGCAAAGGGTGGCTATTTGAAGAATCTCAAATATAAAATATATTTTGATTTGTTTAACACTTTTTTGGTTACTACATGATACCATATGTGTTATTTAATAGTTTGATGTCTTCACTATTATTCTACAGTGTAGAAAATAGTAAAAATAAAGAAAAACCCTTGAATAAGTAGGTGTGTCCAAACTTTTGACTGGTACTGTATGTGTTTGTGTTGGGTGGAGTAATAAAACCCCTAATACGTATTCCTTTGCCTGTCTTCTAATCATAATACAACGTGATAAAATGGTTCCAATTAATGATGTACTGTGCCAAAAGAAGAATTGTTTCCATGATAAAGTAAGTATTCCATAGACATTTTTATTGAGTGGCACATTCCATTAACATAAACTCCCGAATGGCGCAGTGGTCTAAGGCACTGCATCGCAGTGCTAGCTGTGCCACTAGAGATCCTGGTTCGAATCCAGGCTCTGTTGTAGCCGGCTGTGACCGGGAGACCCATGGGGCGGCGCACAATTCGTCCAGGGTAGGGGAGGGAATGGCCGGTGGGGATGTAGCTCAGTTGGTAGAGCATGGTGTTTGCAACGCCAGGGTTGTGAGTTCGATTCCCACAGGGGGTATGAAAAATGAAAATAATGTATGCACTCACTAATTGTAAGTTGCTCTGGATAAGAGTGTCTGCTAAATGACAAAAATGTAACATACAGAACATACCCCTGGAGTCTGGAAACACGCAGGTCCCCTTCATCACTGCCACGGAAACCCTTGGCAAACGGGTTGTTCTCGATCTTCAGCTGAGTTATCTGGGAAGACAGCAACACTTCTTGTCACTGCACTTGAGACTCATCATGAAATGTTCAGTCAAAACTTGTATTTCTATGATTTGGAACATTTCTCCTGCAGATAGTGTTTTGAAGACATTAGAAACGTGTCAGACTGTGTGTGCAGAAGACATTGAACATCAGATAGCAGGTGGACAACTACATGGGTGGCACACATACTGTACCTTATGGTTCTGGTACGAGGTGACGGAGATGAAGGCTGTCTCATGAAACACATGACTGCAGTAGGCTGTGTTCTTAGACCCAAAGGCGTTGTTCTCGTCGGCCTTGACGATGTGGAGCCGAGGCTGGTACTTGTGCATCGAGTTCAGGATGATCTATCAGGGGGAAAGAAGGAAAGGTAGAAGAAAATAAAAAATAAGTACAAGGTCAGACAAACGACAGCAGAGGATTTTGTTTATTCACAGTGTCTTAGGGGCACCAGTGAATGACCAGCCACCACCACAGTCTTAAGACTTTTTAAGATGTTATTTTTTTAAGAAGCTAGTTCTTCCCCTTTAAATTAATTGTTGTCCCTTGCCTAGATGCTAAATTCCAAGTGATGTAATTTTATTGACTTGAATAGACTCATAGTGTGAATTAGGTGCTTAAGATGCTCAGGTTTTCCATGACTAGCCTTTTTTGCAGGTAGGCCTATTTTAATGCTACTGGAGTCTGCATTAGTGGGCATTAGCTCAACTTTGTCCATACAATGTGGAAATGTGTCAATATACTGTAGTTCAATGTGTTGACACTGAAAAGTGGGCACCCCTTTGTCACACTTGAGTTGCAACTGTATAGTGCATCATTCAGCATGTGTGGAGCGTGCTCAATGTTTGGTTTGGGGGGGGGGGCTAGGTCAGCACATCGGCACCAGTCTGCTCAGAGTAGCCCAGTAGCCTAGCCACATGCTCACTGGAGCGTCAGCAGGGTTGGAGCAAGGGTAATCTCCAGCGCAGCTCTGTCATGGCCAATGAGCATCAAGCTCTCCCCCACTCCCACCTCCCCTCCTCTCCTACCTTCTAGACTCACAGCCCAGTAGTACCAGGGCCTTGTCTTAAGAGGCCAACCCCTCCAGGAGGTTACCACAGAGAGGGGTTAAGACTATCAAGCACAGGCAGGCCGGTGGCACCTTAATTGGGGAGGACGGGCTCATAGTATGGCTGGAACGGAATAGATTGAATGGTATCAAACACATCAAACGCATGGTTTCCATGTGTTTGATACCATTCCATTCACTCCATTCCAGCCATTATTATGAGCCATCCTCCCCTCAGCAGCCTTCTGTGCTATCAGGGCACAGGGTCATAGTTGCACCCTGAACAGCCCAATGCTCACATGCCCCTGCCCCCTTTTGCTGAGGCAAGGTTCAGACAGAGATAAGCAATTGGTTCATTGGCTGGCTAGAGACTCTGTGGTGACCTAAGGCAGAGAACGGATAGAGATAAGCTACTGGTTGGTTGACTGGAGACTCTCTGGTGATGACCTTTGTCTAGTCTGCTAGTCTGGCCAGTGTCTGTCTGGAGGCAGTGCAGGAAGGAGTCTGACTCTCTCTGTGCTGTCTGGTTGCATTGAGAAAGACAAGCCTTCCTTGGATCAATCCAGAACCAAATCATGCATTCTCTCTTTCATCTTTTGGGTGAAAATGCCAGCCCCAAACTGGTTTATAAACCAAGACACACTGCCTCACTCGGTGACAGCTGGGAAGTGACAGCATTTCAGGAGTGATTCCTTGGACCATCTCTTGGTCGACAGTAGCATGGGTCAGTGGGAGCCCAGATCCCAGATCTGCGATAGTTTTTTGCGAAGGGAAGGGCAGCGTTTGTGGGGGATGGTCAGGAAAGGGAAGGGCTGTCATAGATCTGAGATACCTCTGGGTTGAATCAAGCTGATGGACATCCTGCTCTGGACTGGACTAGCAGCCATGCTGACCCACATACTTGCACACACAGTCATGCAGACTCTCACATACATAAACAAACACACTTGAAAAGACACACTCTCAAATGCATAAACAACAGAGTCTGTCATTGACTGTCATTAGCTCACTTCACAGGCTGTTTTATTTAGACTGTGGGTCAGTTTAGAGCAGGGGTGTCAAACTCATTTTGCACCGGGGGCCGCATTCGGTCTTCAATGAGGTCCGGAGGGCTGCATTGAAAATATTTTCAATGCTCCCTGGCTGTCTAGCTTTCATTTCAGTGATTATTAGCGAGCTGGATTTGACCCCCCCATGGGCCGTATGTTTGACACCCCTGGTTTAGTGGGTCAGGTAGGTGGTGGATCCAGTGCTATACAGGCCAGGGAGGAGAGGCTCTTTGGCTCCCCTGCTGGCGTGGGCTGTTCTATGGCCATCAGCAGGGCTTAGTAAGACCGGGCCCCTCTCTCTCTCTCTCTGTCCTCATTACTCGCCCTTATCACTATCCAGACGGTGGACTCAACCTGACAGCGGGCCCCGCCGCTGATCCCAGAGGTTATGAACCTAATGAGCTCTCCTTCTGACAGGATGACTTTGGACAAGCCTTCCCAGAGTTCCTCTGGGCAGCACTGCCGCCGCCGTCACACTTCTCACTTCCCTCTGTGGCAAGACCCTCACTTTCTCTCGTGGCAAGACGCTCACTTTCTCTCATATGCTTTCTCTCTCTTTCCCTCTATTCTCTCTCTGTCACTCCCTCCACTTCACTCCCTCTTTCACCCTCTCTTCCTTTTCCTCTCTGGCCATTTTTCCTCGACTCCTTCCCCCTCTCTCCTCTCTCCCTCTCTTTCAATCAAGACAGCTTTATGACTCTGTCTCTTGTTAAAAAACACCTCTATTCTGCTGTGGTTTTAACACCAGTCTATTGAAGTCTCATCCCCTGTGTAGGTTTTACTAAATTAGCTGTATCCTGTCACCTCTCTTGTTTTACATGGCCAGGAGAAGTGAGAAGCTATATTGTGTGAAATGACCCTGTGCCTTCCTGGGATGTGGATTGACCTACATTGTGAGGCCTCAGTAGCTAACCATTCCCCTCTCTCTCACTCTCTCTCTACCCATTTACAGTTAATTGAGCTTAAAGATTATAGACGTTGTTGACATTATTTTGAGCAGTCAAGCTGTTGATCACTTGGCCCTGCTGATGCAACTGATGTGACAGGCAGAGCACTTGGCTCTGTGACAAAGAACTCCCCCAAGTGTTGGTGATCTAAGTGGCTTTAAGGGCCAAGTGTGGGGTCACCTGGCCAAAGTACCTGTTGTTCTTGGGCAATTGTCCAGCATATACCCATAGTTTTGTTGTGGTCTGTTCTTGGTATTACTGTTACACTACTGTTCAAAAGTTTGGGGTCACTTAGAAATGTCCTTGTTTTCGAAAGAAATGCAAATGTTTTGTCCATTAAAATAACATCAAATTGATCAGAAATACAGTGTTAATGCTGTAAATGGCAATTATAGCTGGAAACTGCTGATTTTTAATGGAATAAATACATAGGCGTACAGAGGCCCATTATCAGCAACCATCAGTCCAGTGTTCCAATGGCACGTTGTGTTTGCTAATCCAAGTTTATCATTTCAAAAGGCTCATTGATCATTAGAAAACCCTTTTGCAATTATGTTAGCACAGCTGAAAACTGTTGTGCTGATTAAAGAAGCAATAAAACTGGCCTTCTTGAGACTAGTTGAGTATCTGGAGCATCAGCAATTGTGGGTTCGATTACAGGATCAAAATGGCCAGAAACAAATAACTTTCTTCTGAAACTCGTCAGTCTATTCTTGTTCTGAGAAATGAAGGATATTCCATGTGAGAAATTGCTAAGAAACGGAAGATCTCGTACAACGCTGTGTACTACTCCTTTCACAGAACAGCGCAAACTGGCTCTAACCAGAATAGAAAGAGGAGTGGGAGGCCCCGGTGCACAACTGAGCAAGAGGACAAATACATTAGAGTGTCTAGTTTGAGAAAAAGAAACCTCACAGGTCCTCAACTGGCAGCTTCATTAAATAGTACCCGCAAAACACCAGTCTCAACGTCAACAGTGAAGAGGCGACTCCGGGATGCAAAGAGTTGCAAAGAAAAAGCCATATCTCAGATATGGTAATATTTTATGTATCATTAAGGAAAATGTTGGGAAATGTCAAAGATAAAATATAGTAAACATGATTGACATTTTATAAGTCCAGATACATGTCTAAATAAGGAATATAGTCAATACAATGTGTAAACATGCTTTGATGAATGTATGTATTTTATTTTTAAAAGTGTCTGAGCCATGCCACCAACATAATGAGATAAGGGAAAGAGGCAAAAGCGCCCATGGCCTTTTGGAGTAAACAACATGTGTTATTGGACTTTCAAAGATAATAGTGGCATGGCAGTTAAAGATGTTAATCAGTGATCTTAAGGGGAGTAGCTTTGTAAGCTATGTATACATGACTGTGCATTTGTGTGTGTATATAAGAGATCTCTAAGCCAAAGAGAGACAGCCGTTCCATGGAGTGGCTCGGCTTTGTTACGCAATAATAAAGCCTAATTTCTGGATTCACAAGCTCCAGTCTCTTGAGAGATATTTTTGAGTTGACTATTTTTTAGTCAAATATTTCTACGACACAGACTGGCCAATAAAAAGAAAATATTAAGATGGGCAAAATAACACAGACACTGGACAGAGGAAGTTTGGAAAAAAAGTGTTATGGACAGACATATCAAAGTTTGAGGTGTTCGGATCACAAAGAAAAACATTTGTGAGACGCAGACCAAATGAAAAGATGCTGGAGGAGTGCTTGATGCCATCTGTCAAGCATGGTGGAGGCAATGTCATGGTCTGGGGGTGTTTTGGTGGTGGTAAAGTGGGAGATTTGTACAGGGTAAAAGGGATCTTGAAGAAGGAAGGCTATCATTCCATTTTGCAATGCCATGCCATACCCTGTGGACGATGCTTGATTGGAGCCAATTTCCTCCTACAACAGGACAATGACCCAAAGCACAGCTCCAAACTATGCAAGAACTATTTAGGGAAGAAGCAGTCAGCTGGTATTCTGTCTATAATGGAGTGGCCAGCACAGTCACCGGATCTCAACCCTATTGAGCTGTTGTGGGAGCAGCTTGACCGTATGGTACGGAAGATGTGCCCATCAAGCCAATCCAACTTGTGGGAGGTGCTTCAGGAAGCATGGGGTGAAATCTCTTCAGATTACCTCAACAAATTGACAACTAGAATGCCAAAGGTCTGCAAGGCTGTAATTGCTGCAAATGGAGGATTCTTTGACGAAAGCAAAGTTTGAAGGACACAATTATTATTTCTATTAAAAAATCATTATTTCTAACCTTGTCAATGACTACATTTCCTATGCATTTTGCTATATTTCCTATTCAAACTAATTTCATGTATGTTTTCATGGAAAACAAGGACATTTCTAAGTGACCCCAAACTTTTGAACGGTAGTGTACTTTTAGTATATTTGATCAGTCGAGGCTCCTCAGAGGAGGAAGGGGAGGACTATCCTCCTTAGCGAATTTCATAAAAATAAAAATAGTGAAACATTAAAAAAGTTAGCCATTTTAGATAAAACTATACTAAATATATTCATGCCACCAAATAATTGATTAAAACATACTGTTTTGCATTGAAGGTCTACAGTAGCCTCAGCAGCACTCTGTAGGGTAGCACCATGGTGTAGACGGAGGACAGCTAGCTTCTGTCCTCCTCTGGGTACATTGACTTCAATACAAAACCTAGGAGGCTCATGGTTCTCACCTCCTTCCACAGACTTCCACAGTAATTATGACAACCGGAGGACGTCCTCCAGCCTATCAGAGCTCTTGCAGCATGAACTGACATGTTGTCCACCCAGTCAAAGGATCTGAGAATGAATCTATTACTGAAAGCATAAGCTACAGCTAGCTAGCACTGCAGTGTAGTGCATCAAATGTGGTGAGTAGTTGCCTCATAGAGAGAAAGACGATAGTTTAACAGTTTTGAACAAATTAATTTCTTCAAAAATTAAGGAGAAGCGAGAGAGAGAGAGAGAGAGAGAGCTAGCGATATTGGGTTGTATTTTTATTTTATTTCACTTTCACTTAGCTAGCAAATGTAGCTAGCTAGTTTAGCCTACTCAAACACCCAGCTCAAACAGAGAGGGATGCTATGTTAGCTAGCTGGCTATGGCTATCCAACACTGGAACTCTTCCAAGTCAAGGTAAGCTTTTGGTTTTATAAATGTATTGCCACCGGGGCCTGCCGGTGTAACTGCTTTCTGACTGTACACTGGGTTTACTAACGCTTAAGTTCTTGTAGTTCTAGTTGACTATGACATGACTACGATGTAGGCTGTGTGTAGCGGTTAGCGGTCATGATATGAAGGTTTGGCTTGGAAAGGTTATTTCGCCATGTCACAGACAGCTGATGTGTTGTGCACTGAAGTCCACAAGCGAAGGGAAAAAGTGAGAGGAGGAGAGCGCATAGATAGTTGTGAGATGGAATTATATATACAACGAGCAAAGTGATCATGCTGTTTTTATGTGGCTGCTATGAAAGTGAATTGTTTGTGTGTATTCATTCCGCCGATTCTGTTTAAAAAACGTTTCTTAAATGGAAGCAAACGGAACGAAATGGGGATAAACATACCTGAATTTGTCCAACAGAAACTCTAATTTTCAACTGTTGGACTAATGATTACACCCTACATCAGCTAGATGTAGGCAAGAGTGTGCAAGGCGGTATTGAACGTGTCACTGTCTGTCACCTTGATTACTCAAAATTCTCTCAACCTGTGCACCTACGTTGTAAACTTTCATTCATAGGCTAGGTTGTAGCAACCTCATGATGGGTACAGGGAAAATTAGAGTATCATGTAGTAGCCTAAACCTATCGATGTTACATTGAACTGGGTGAATGGAATATGAATGACAGTCATCCAATATGATATAATAGAAATAAAGCCGTGCTCATAAAAAATATATAATCCTCCCTCATCTTAAACGGCACCGACCGCCACTGATTTGAGTGAATGTTAGCCTGTGTGCTGATGCTGTAGGTAGGTAGACTGAGGGTCACTCACATGGCCAAATGGGTCCAGGTGGTTGTTGGTGAGCTTTAGCTTCTGGAAGGACACCAGCTGCCTCATCCAGTGGGCTCCTGTAGCCGGGGAGTCTGGATGGACATAGAGCCTCCCTGGCATGGCTGGCTCCGCCTTGCCTGCCATCATCCTGAGTAGAAAGAGAAGGAGAAGAAGAAAGAGAAGAACGAGAGTGGGAAGGAGAGAGAGGGAGATTAAGAGAAATTAAGGTGCATCATCATCATCATAAAGACCCCATGGCTAGCAGCAACCAACGGCCATTACTCTGCCAAGATGGCTCAGCCATTGTGGTAATCCAGCAACCATATACAACCCAGCAGGGCTGTGGTCTACCAAACCCTATTGTCACGGCATAGCCAAATCTTCCAGCAGCCACACGACTCCATTCAGGCTCACTGATGGGCCACTGAGAATGAAGGATCCCTTTTTATACCAAACACATGTAGCTACAGTCAGTAATGATAAAAAATGGCAGCCGTTTCAGCCCTCACACTATGGGCTATGGGAACCATTCTCCCAGACTGGAGGTGGTGGTGGTGGTTGCTTCAACCCTGATGAAGACAGCTTGTCTGTCGAAACGTTGGTTATTGGGTTATTAAATTATTGCATCTGAGCTCCTAGAGTGTGCGGCTCTACTTTTCTTTTTCAAAGGTTGCTTCAACCGTAACATCACTGCTAATTACGCTCCTCCAAGGTGTCGCTGAGATACTCCAGCAACCCACGCTGGCAAACGCTGGGATTCCAGGCCCTCCCAGGCTATCCCACAAAGATCTGGAACAAATGGTTGTAAAAAAAATGGCTGGGTTTCTGCTGGAGAAAGCAAAGCACGTGGTGCATTTTATGGAGGCTTTGTCTGAGTCTTAAATGGTACCCTATTCCCTACATAGTGCACTGCTTTTGACTATGGGCCCTGGGATTAGGGCGCCATTTGGGACGCAGACTTTTCTTGGAGTGACGTCGGGTTCTGGTTTCAGTACACCCTACACTGGATACAGTTGTTTTGTCATTTGCACGGCCAGCAGTGGCAACGGTTGATGCCGCTCCGGTGGGCAGTGGCAGATGCAGGCTATGGTGGCATCACCGGTCATGGCTAGAGGGATACAGTTTGTCAAATTGACGTCAAAAGTTGCATTTTTTTGCATTTTAGCTAACCCTAACCCTTTTCCTAACCTTAACCTAATTATCCTAACCTGCTACGTTAATTATCCTAAGCTGCTGCGTAAGTTCTCCTAACCTGTTACGAAAAGTCATTTATTTCAGGTCAATTCTGACATAAGCTGTATCCCATCTAGTCAAAACCGGCATCACCCAAGGTATAGGGTCACTGGAAGGACAGCGGGTACAGCCCAGCAGGCGGCTTGCCAGTGCCCTGCGGTAATGAACTGTGTGCTAATGACAATCTGCAGCTACAGTTTAGCTAGCACAGCGACTGAGACATGAGGTACTCTTCTTGCTGTGCTCTAAAAGAACAAAGGAGTATGCATGGCATGGCATACTATTATAACATGACCTCAATAGTAGTCCCGTGTAGCTCAGTTGGTAGAGCATGGCATTTGCAACGCCAGGGTTGTGGGTTCGATTCCCACGGGGGGCCAGTATAAAAAAATAAATGTATGCAGTCACTAACTGTAAGTCGCTCTGGATAAGAGCGTCTGCTAAATGACGTAAAAAATATATAATAACAACAAAGCTGCCTGTGGACAGACTTGTCACTTAAGATTTCAATGATCATCATACTGTATTTGCGTCCTCGTTCTGAGAAGTGGAAATTTTACTCTGCAGCCAGGCGCTCCTTTTCACGAGAGCAATGATTAAATTGACAGAAACCAGTCGGTTTTCCTCATTATTCAACCACAACAGACTAAATTTAGGCCTTCCATGACTGGAGGCAGCAAGTGCCTGGACTCATGCTCCATCTCTCCATTCCATCAATGAATGGATACAGATGAACGAATGAACAGATGAGTGGGAGATTAAAATGTTGGTCTTGAACACAAAGAAAATATTGTTAGCCAATACACACACAAAAATAAGGGTTCCTTACCCTTTGTGAAGGGTGATGGTTCTATGTGGAACCATACTGACCCAAATAACCCTTTGAGCCCTTAAATGGTTCTTTGCAGTTTTTAGAATCAAAAAAGGGTTCTTTCCTCTTTTAGTGATAAATAAAATGTAGGGGCGGTGGCTCATTCGAATATTTTGGGGCGTGGTTTGCACACCGCTCTTTTTGTACAACAGAGAGTGTCATTCCAGTTTATCTAATTTTTTTATTGAAAAATGACTATGGCCAGTGACAGTGTTTTGTGAAAAACTCATGTCTGGCCTTGTATCAATTGAGAACTGTTGCTTAAGTCAGTGGTTCTCAATTCTCTCATTAAGGACCCCCAGACGTTCCAGAGCTAGCACACCTGATTCAACTTGTCAATGAACACAATAATAAAACCTATGGAATTTTAACAATATAATATGGCTAACCAGAAACAAATAACCCTGTATGGTTCTTCAAAAGGTTATTTGTAGAACTTTTGAGATTGAGAATGGTTATATAAAAACCTTTCTCCATAAAGGTTCTATAAAGAACCATTAAGGGTTGTAACCATAGCAGAACCCTTTTTGGTGCTATATAGAACCTTTTTTATAGTTCTTTATAGGAAAGAGTTCTTTATAGCAACATAAAGCTTCCATTTAGAACCGTATTAGCATGGTTATTTATAGAACCTTAAAAAAAGGGTTCTATATAGCACCAAAAAGGGATCCGCTATGGTTACTATCCTTTTTGGTGCTGTATGGTTCCACATGTAACAACGTTACATTATCCAACATGACATTTATTTGGTTTGCATAATGATGTCACGGCATGTAAAGTGTTTGTTCCAGAGCCTGCCGAGGAAAGGGCCACCAGGGATATGTGTGCGCGTGTGTGTGTGTACTGCTTGTCTGTGTGTATACTGTATGTGGGAGGCAGCATCACCTCAAGCATATAAAACTGTCTGAGAGTGTTAAATGTCTCTCTCATTTGCACCCACCGTTATTGTCTACTCTACGGCGTTGGTGATTATTTTCCCATGGTGAGAGGAAGGCCTCTGCAGAGCGGTGGAGGTGAAGCTATGGGGTTGAGAAGATAATAGCTACTTTCATCTTCCTTAAGCTCACCGCTCCCTCCCCACCCTCCCTAACCTCCCCATTTCTTGATCCCCCCCTTTCCATTTCAAAACGTCCCTGCCTCCTGAGGTCTAAAGCCAAGCAGCATCTGAGACAGAGACGAGTGGGTGGATTTCTCATAACAACCATTAAGGAGGTTACTCATCTAAGCCCTGAGCTTAGAAAATAACTTGAGCAATACTGCAAACTGGAAGAACCACTCTGACAAGGTTTTTGGCAGGATTCTATAATTGTCTTTGTATATTTTCTATACTGGTGTGTTATATGTATTGCTGTATTGTCTGTTTTTAATATGTACATTTTTGTATTGACTGTATAGCTGCTGTCTTGATGACCAGGTTTCCCTCATAAAGGAGATCCCTTATCTCAAGGGTCTTCCAGGTTAATTAAAGGATCACTTTTTTTTAAAAAGGTGTCTCTGACTAAACTCACCACTTGTTGTCACAGAACTTGTAGCGATGGTTGTCGGCGGGGACGATGTCTGTGAGGAGGATGTACTTGGTTTTGGGGTTCATGCCCGTCACTTTCACCTTGTAGCTGGGGAACATCCTCCTGTGAAGGACACAAGAGAAGGGACATTCCCTAATGATGATGATTTCACCTACCATAATACCCACTAGACCTAATGCTCGCTCCCCAACTCACTCAAACACGAATTGGGTCAGCAGGTGTTTTGTTATTGGTGACTAAGTCACCTCTTCCTGATCCAATTTGGAAAGACTTGCCATTAGCTTCTAAGCACCTTTAGTATCGTAAGACCCGTAAATACAGAGGTTTATTTAATGCCTTATGTCTTTGTGCTGCCCTCACACCTTGGAGCTTTGAGGGATGTTGAACGGGAATCAAGGTGATAAGGCGCTTTGGACAATGATGTCACCCAAGCTTTTTGAGCACCTAAGTACCTTCCCTCACCTAGCTAGCTTACACTGGAAAAGATTTCCCTCTTCAGATGAGCTAATGAAAATTGGCTTTAGCCCCAAGGTGTCTCTCTGTGGGGCTGAGCGCACAGGGTAAATATGCATAAGAGGCTCTTCTCCGGCTTTGCAGGAGGGTTTTAGCCAGCCCTGAGTGTAGCATCAGAACGGAAAGTGTTCTCACCACGGCAGATGAGTGGACGATTAGCACTCAGAAAGCGGCTCAAGCCAGGCTTAGAGACTGATTGGGACGAGTAATTAGTTAGAGAGGTCAAAGGAGATCACAGCGTTGAGGGAGGTACAGTATGTAACCACAAACTGGTTGAATCAACGTTGTTTCAACGTAATTTGTCAACGTATTGTGACGTGGAATCTACATGGAAAATACATTGGATTTGAAAAAAGTCATCAACGTAAAATGTTGTTTTGAGGGTGGAATTTCAACCACAGGATTGTCATCATTGTAACCAATTTTCAACATACAGTGCCTTGCAAAAGTATTCATCCCGTTGGCATTTTTCCTATTTTGTTGCATTACAACCTGTAATTTAAATGGATTTTTATTTGGATTTCATGTAATGGACATGCACAAAATAGTCCAAATTGGTGAAGTGAAATGAAAAAAATAACTTGTTTCAAAACATTCTAAAAAATAAATAACGGAAAAGTGGTGTGTGCATATGTATTCACCCCCTTTGCTATGAAGCCCCTAAATAAGATCTGGTGCAACCAATTACCTTCAGAAGTCACATAATTGGTTAAATAAAGTCCACCTGTGTGCAATTTAAGTGTCACGTGATCTGTCACATGATCTCAGTGTATATATACCTGTTCTGAAAGGCCCCAGAGTCTGCAACACCACTAAGCAAAGGGCACCACCAAGCAAGCTGTCACGATCGTCGTAATGAGTGGACCAAGGCGCAGCGTGATATGCGTACATCTCTTTTAATGAGTACTTTTCACAATGTAACAAATAACAAAACAACAAAACGAAACGTGAAGTCCTCGGTCATACACAAACCTACATGGAACAAGATCCCACGAATCACAAGTGCACCAAAGGCTGCCTAAGTATGGTTCCCAATCAGAGACAACAAGCAACAGCTGATTCTCGTTGCCTCTGATTGAGAACCACCCCGGCCAACATAGAGACACATAACCTAGAACAGAACATAGGAAACGAAACATAGACACTACACAAAGAAACTAACACCCTGGCTCAACATACAAGAGTCCCCAGAGCCAGGGTGTGACAGTACCCCCCCCCCCCCCAAAGGCGCGGACTGCGACCGCGCCAACATAAACCCAACAGGTGAGGGGCCGGGTGGGCATTCCACCTCGGAGGCGGATCCGGCTCCGGGCGTGACCACCACCCTCTAACAACCCCCCCGTAGCGCCCCTGGTCTGGTCTGGCCACGCTGGCTGGAGCTGGACTGGACATCGGTGGAGCGGATTGCTTAGGCTCGGTGTGGAGCAGCTGACCGGTACCTGACCAGGCACCGGTGAAACAGGCACGGGCTGTGCCGGACTGACGACGCGCACCACAGGCTTGGTGCGGGGAGCAGGAATGGGCCGGACCGGGCTGACGACGCGCACCACTGACTTGGTGCGGGGAGCAGGAACGGGCCGGACCGGGCTGACGATGCGCACCACTGGCTTGGTGCAGGGAGCAGGAATGGGCCGGACCGGGCTGACGACGCGCACCACTGGCTTGGTGCGGGGAGCAGGAACGGGCCGGACCGGGCTGACGATGCGCACCACTGGCTTGGTGCGGGGAGCAGGAACAGGCCGGGCCGGGCTGGCGACGCGCACCACAGGCTTGGTGCGAGGGTCAGGAACAGGCCGGGCCGGGCTGGCGACGCGCACCACAGGCTTGGTGCGAGGGGCAGGAACAGGCCGGGCCGGGCTGGCGACGCGCACCACAGGCTTGGTGCGGGGAGCAGGAACAGGCCGGGCCGGGCTGGCGACGCGCACCACAGGCTTAGTGCGAGGGGCAGGAACAGGCCGGACCGGGCTGGCGACGCGCACCAGAGGCTTGGTGCGGGGAGCAGGAACAGGCCGGACCGGGCTGTGGAGACGGACTGGAGGTCTGGAGCGAAGAGCTGACACAACCCGTCCTGGCTGAATGCCTATTTTTACACACTCTGTGTGAGGCATCAGCACAGGACGTACAGGGCTGTGTACTCGTACTGGCACTACAGCACGTGACACTGGCGCAGGATATCCGGGACCGAGGAGGGGTACTGGAGTGCATGAGCGTTGAGCCGGCACACTCCGTCCTGGCTGCATGCCCACCTTAGCACGACACGTGCGTGGTGCTCGCACAGTACGTACCGGACTGTGTCGGACCACTCGCGGCACAGTACGCAGCTCCGCATACCTCGGAACCTGCCCAGTCTCACGCTGCCTAGCCTGAGTACGGGGAGTTGGCTCTGCTCTACCTCTAGGCTCCGCCAACCTCCCTTCCAGCCCCCCAAACCCAGTGGCCTCCTAATCCCCAAACTCGCCCTGTAGCTGCCTCCAGCAGCCCCGTCGTCCATGCCGTGTGCCCCCCCCCAAAAAAATTATTGGGTTGCCTCTTGCGTGTCCGACGTCGACACGGTTGGCGCCGCTGCTCCTCTCTATGGCGCGCCTCCACCGTCTCCTCCCACGGACGGCGATCCATTCTGGCCTGGATTTCCTCCCAAGTCCAGGACCCCTGCCCGTCCAAGATCTCCTCCCAAGTCCAGGCTGTCTGCTCCTGGACACGCTGCTTGGTCCTTTGATGGTGGGATCTTCTGTCACGTTCGTCGTAATGAGTGGACCAGGGCGCAGCGTGATATGCGTACATCTCTTTTAATGAGTACTTTTCACAATGTAACAAATAACAAAACAACAAAACGAAACGTGAAGTCCTCGGTCATACACAAACCTACATGGAACAAGATCCCACGAATCACAAGTGCACCAAAGGCTGCCTAAGTATGGTTCCCAATCAGAGACAACAAGCAACAGCTGATTCTCGTTGCCTCTGATTGAGAACCACCCCGGCCAACATAGAGACACATAACCTAGAACAGAACATAGGAAACGAAACATAAACACTACACAAAGAAACTAACACCCTGGCTCAACATACAAGAGTCCCCAGAGCCAGGGCGTGACACAAGCGGCACCATGAAGACCAAGGATCTCTCCAAACAGGTCAGGGACAAAGTTGTGGAAAAGTACAGATCAGGGTTGGGTTATAAAAAAATATCAGAAACTTTGAACATACCATGGAGCACGATTAAATCCATGATTAAAAAATTGAAAGAAACTGGCACCACAACAAACCTGCCATGAGAGGGCCGCCCACTAAAACTCACAGACCAGGCAAGGTGGGCATTAATCAGAAAGGCAGCAAAGAGACCAAAGATAACCCTGAAGGAGCTGCAAAGCTCCACAGCAGAGATTGGAGGTTCTGTCCATAGGACCACTTTAAGCCGTACACTCCACAGAGCTGGGCTTTACGGAAGAGTGGCCAGAAAAAAGCCATTGCTTAAAGAAAAAAATAAGCAAACACGTTTGGTGTTCGCCAAAAGGCACGTGGGAGACTCACCAAACATATGGAAGAAGGTACTCTGGTCAGATGAGACTAAAATTGAGATTTTTGGCCATCAAGGAAAACGCTATGTCTGGCGCAAACCCAACACCTCTCATCACCCGAGAACACCATGTTTTTCATCGGCAGGGACTGGAAAACTGGTCAGAATTGAAGGAATGATGGATGGCACTAAATACAGGGAAATTCTTGAGGGAAACCTGTTTCAGTCTTCCAGAGATTTGAGAATGGGACGGAGGTTCACCTTCCAGCAGGACAATGACCCTAAGCATACTGCTAAAGCAACACTCGAGTGGTTTAAGGGGAAACATTTAAATGTCTTGGAATGGCCTAGTCAAAGCCCAGACCTCAATCCAATTGAGAATCTGTGGTATGACTTAAAGATTGCTGTACACCAGTGGAACCCATCCAACTTGAAGGAGCTGGAGCAGTTTTGCCTTGAAGAATGGGCAAAAATCCCAGCGGCTAGATGTGCCAAGCTTATAGAGACATACCCCAAGAGACTTGCAGCTGTAATTGCTGCAAAAGGTGGCTCTACAAAGTATTGACTTTGGGGGGGGGGGTGAATAGTTATGCACGCTCAAGTTTTCTGTTTTTTTGTCTTATTTCTTGTTTGTTTCACAATAAAAAATATTTTGCATCTTCAAAGTGTTAGGCATGTTGTGTAAATCAAATGATACAAACCCCAAAAAAATAACTTTTAATTCCAGGTTGTAAGGCAACAAAACAAGTCATCAACAGTCATCAACAGCTTTTGTTTCAATTCAACCCAGGGTTCAACTAAAATTATAAACTGGGTGGTTCGAGTCCTGAATGCTGATTGGCTGAAAGGTGTGGTATTTCAGACCGTATACTATGGGTATGACAAAACATTTATTTTTACTGTTCTAATTACGTTGGTAACCAGTTTATTATAGCAATAAGGCACTTCAGGGGTTTGTGGTATTTGGCCAATATACCACAGCTAAGGGCTGTGTCCAGGCAACACATTGCGTTGTGCCCAAGAACAGCCCTTAGCCATGATATATTGGCCATATACCACACCCTCTTGGGCCTTATTGCTTAAATAGACACATATAGGCCTAGGGTTTCAATCTTTGGTTGATTTCAAATGTAATCTTCAAGTTAATCATTAATATGTTGGATTCACGTCTCCATCTCAAACAAAAGTTAAAGAATTGGACTAAATCAAATCGTATTTTATTTAAAGTGCATTTAAAGTTTGATTAGACTAGATTTAGTCCTATACTTTAACTTGTATTTTTGGTTGAGATGGAGACCTGAATCCAACATATTAATGATTAACATGATTAGAAGTGAATCCAACATATCAATTATTCATTTGTAGACATACTGGATATTGAATTGTCTTTGGTTGTCAATGCAACCAAATATCAACATTTAAAGGAGATGCATCTTCTGCTTGGATAGGTCCATCTGTGCCACTGACTTAGTCTGGCTTTAATTCCAGTTTCTCTACACATTAATCATTGCTATGTTGGATTCACGTGTCCATCTCAACCAA